ATCAAAGAGATGCATATTTAAAAATTTTAAAATAATGGCAGATTGCCCACCAAAAAATCCTGTATCCGTTCACACTACCATTAATAGTATATGAAAGAGCTGTTGTCTTCACATCTTCACTAAAACTGGATGTTATCAACTTAATTATTAACAATCTGAGAAACGTAAAAGGAAGGATCTCATTTTAATTTGGATTTCTATAATCATAGTGATGATAAACGTTTTTCTTGTGTTTATAAGAAATTTGTGTGCATTTTTTGAATTGCCAGATTCACTTCCTTGCCCATTTGCTGTGGTACTGTTTTTTAACATATGAGAGCCCCTCTTCATTTAGTCTAGATTTTATTTCTCTGCCAAAAGATTTTCACTGTCTGTGGCTTATTTTCAGCTCTCATTTTAGTGTTATTTATTATACTATGTTTTTATATAATCATATCAATTGATCTTTTCATTTATGGGTTTTTGGTTTGATATTTAAGAAGGCCTTCTCAGTGTTATAGGAATAACACTATATTCCTATATTTTCTACTTTTCAAATTTGGTTTTGTTTTGTTTCTACATGTAGCCCTCTTATACACCTGGAATTTATGTCTCTATTTGGTGTGAATGAGGAAAGGTGTGATAAACAAGATATATTTCAAAGAATGAGATTGAAAATGTGCATCATCTATTCTAGAAGAAAACTTTATCAGAAACCTAAAAAACATACTTTCCCTTTGATCTGATAGGTCCACTTGTAAGGATTTATCTTAAATATTTAATCATGGGTGTACATGAAGATTTAGTTGTAAGGATACAACAGCATTGTTTCTAATATTTAAAAATTAGTGATAATCTAGATCCCCAGTAATAAGAGCTTGCTGAAATAAATTATGATATATTCAGTAAGTACAATACTATGTTGTAGAAAAGTATAACAGAGGGAATTATTTTCATGTTAGTAGGTAGAGGAAGCAGGTTAAATGTTATCCATCCAAATTTTATAACTATGTGGGGGAGGGCCAGTAGGTATTATTCTGGATTCTTCAAATTATTATCTCTGGTGGGATTATGGATAATGTTTATTTTCTTCTTTGTGTTTTTTAATGTTTTCCAGTATTTCTTTTGTGAACATGTAACCTTTTTATTACAAAAATAATTGAAATGATAAATTTTTTAGTTAAAATAAGTATTAAATCCAGTAAATATTATATCAGCTTAATAGAATAAAGCCCTTAAAATATAAGGGGTTTTGTGTGCATTGTGTTTGCTGAAAGACCAATCAAGCTTATTAATATTTTGCCTCCTTTTGCCATTCTTTTTCGTAGTTTAGATAATTATAAATTGTATCAAGTTTATGTTTATTGAATAAACTTAAGTATATAATACTTTTGTCACGTAATTTAGTTCAGTGGAAATACAGTTGACCCTTGAACAACACTGCGAGTCCATTAATACGAAGAATTTTTTTGATAAATGCATTGGAAATTTTTTTGAAAATTTGCAATAATTTTTAAAAACTCATAAACTGTGTAGCC